TGTGTGTGTCTGTAGCTCTCACATTGATGTGTGTGTGTGTGTAGCTCTCACATTGATATGTGTGTGTGTGCTTGTGTCTGTAGCTCTCACATTGGTATGTGTGTGTGTCTGTAGCTCCCACCCTGATCTGTGTATCTGTGTGTGTGTGTGTGTGTGTGTGTGTGTGTGTGTGTGTGTGTGTGGACGCTCCTGCACCCACAGGACTGCAGTTATGATCCACGTCACGGGACCGCGCCGCAGACCCTTCTACATCCGCCAACGTCCTGTTACTGTGACTTGTAGAGCTCGTGTGGCCATAACACAACAACAACAACATTTGTTCATGTGCACCCACACACACACACACACACACACGTCGTGTCATCAGCATGCGTGTAACCAGCTCACGTGTCCAAATGAAGAACTACAGCTGTTCTCTACTCACCGCTGCTCTCTTCTCTGTTTGGGTTTGACAGTGCAGCTACTTCCGCTATACGCGTCTGGCGCTGGGTGCGCTTGTTGAGCAGCACGGGCGAAAAGAAGAAGGACCGACACGGGCGGGGACTGCAGCTTCCCAGGTGTGTGTGTGCGGGGAGCGCAGCCGGCGTCCTCCCTGGTCAGCAAATCAAGCGTCTTCATTCATGGTGACGGCCAGTAAGAGGCTGTCAGCACACGTGACCGCGAGGAGCTTCACTGGAGTGTTGTTGCAGTATGGCCGAGCCAGCGGTGACAGAGAGCGGAGGGTGAGTATTTCCTCTGAACACTCATCAGCGACGGTCAACACGTCTGATCGGTAACACACTGCTGTGTACTTCTGTGTACTTCTGTGTAGTTCTGAGTAGTTCTGTTTAGATCTGTGTAGTTCTGAGTAGTTCAGACATGTTCTGTGCAGTTCTGTGTTGTTTTTGTGTATATATGAGTAGTCCGGTGTTGTTTTGTGTAGTTCTGAGTTGTTCTGAGTAGTTCTGAGTAGTTCTGTGTAGTTTTGCGTAGTTCTGAGTAGTTCTGTGTAGTTTTTGTGTAGATCTGAGTAGTCCGGTGTAGTTTTGTGTAGTTCTGTGTAATTCTGAGTAGTTCTGTGTAGTCCAGGAAAACATACCTGCATGATGTCACACACTGGCAAAGCTGAACAAGTTGACAAAAGTCAGGCACCAGCTGAAGTTCAAGTAAACACACATGAACACTGACATGACACTGAAGGGAGGAACATACAGGGTTCACATGTGATTTACACATTTTATCTGACAGATTATAGTTTAGAAGAGATGATGACATGCAGCCTGTCAAATCCATTGGTGTCATGTTGACAGCTACATAAAATAAGACGAGATAATCCTTTATATAATCCTTTATTATTCTTACAATGAGGAAGGCAAAGACAGTCAAAGCATAGACACCAGTGAAGTTATAATATGTAAACATGCAATATAAGGAAATAGGAAAAATACAAATGAAATGGAACTAATACAAACAATGCATGTTCAATGCATTGCACCGGCACAAATTAGTCGCACAGAGCTATTCGTGGCAGACGACTGTAATGATACCCTCTCACCACTCAGCCGCTGGTGTTTGTCCTCATCCTCTTCTTTCACTTCTTGTTTCCTTATGCTCTGGCTGCAGCGCTGTTCAGAGAATGCTGTCTGTTGTTGGTGTTCACAGTCTGGTCAGCAGTTTGTGGAGCTATGTGGACACCACGATAAAGTAAGTCAGACGTCTGACCGTCCACACACGCTAAAGTTAGACCACACAGAGCACTCGTTCAACATTCAGCACCGTGTCATAACGGACTCTCTCAGAGAAGCAAAAGACATCGAGTGACCTACAGTTTAACTGCTTATTTATGCATAATCATAGATGATGTTTTTTTAAATAAGGTGATAGACATGTCATTTTATGAATTTTCAATAGATTTTTCAGACACACACACACGCATGGTCCTGTACTTTGCAGTTGTCCCTCTCTGGTGTTAGAGAACAGGAACCTGCAATATGTTTTGATTAACTTCCTGGTTTATCAAACACTGAAAAGGCAGTTTCCAGCTGTTGGCAAACTTTAATATCCTCATTTATCAATTTATTAGGTGAACCCTCTGTGGCTAAAATCCTACCCTCGTAAAGTTATGTTTTTTTACTAAACTGTGGTTATTTTGGAGGTCATATTTTGTAATGCTGGGAAACTCATTATTATATAATATTTTGTCCAGTCCAATTATATAAGTGAGGGTTATCAAAATATTAGAAACACCTACCATTTGATTTGAAATATCTAAAAACATAAATGCAAGTACAACAAACAAGTTAATTTATCAGATCACATTAAAGGGTCATTTGTCCTAAACAAATGAATGTGTAGGCGGTGCAGACAGTCATGCTACAAGGTGATGTGTGTATGAAAAGTGAGAATTTCATTTAAAGTCACTTATATGTAGAAGCAATAGACTCATATGCACATAGTAAATCATCGGGAAGTACCCATTGCCTAGTTCAGAGTAACACTGAGCAGCTGATATAGAGGATATTGAATTATAAGCCCATAACCATAATAAACACTAACATTCAGTCCTGATGCTGTCATGTGTATAAAATTCTTAAATTCATATCGTGAAATCAGCTGGTTTATTGTTCTGTTTTGCTCCATCTCTGAGTGTCCCTGTGTCTCTGTAGTTCATGAGGATGGTGCTCATAAACGTTTTGTCTGTGTAGGTGGTGCTGGATTCCTAGTTGGCTGCCATCATGGTGCCCCACTTCTCAGAGCCAGCTACAGGCTGCAGAGGACAGGATGCTCAGATGTAAGGATCAGTCCTACGCCTCTAATTCTGTGCATGTTTGTACCAGATCTTGTGCAGGAGTTCAGGTGATGAAAGGAAATAATCATCTTGAATCATCTTTTTCAAATGTACCTTGTCATCCCTCTCTTTGCTGTGTTGACAGGTGTAGACAGTTCTTTCTCCAAAAAGTACGTCCCCATTTCCAATGACAACCAGCTGTGGACCTTGACCTTTAGCAGTGTCAGTGTGAAAGACAAAACCCCTATGGTTCTGCTCCATGGGTTCGGAGGTGGTGTGGGCCTTTGGGCTCAGAACCTGGATGCTCTCTCTCAGTGTCGGCCAGTCTTTGCTCTGGACCTGATGGGTTTTGGTCAGAGCAGCAGACCTCTGTTCTCTTCAGACGCACAAGCGGTAGAGGACCAGTTTGTGGAGTCGATTGAGCAATGGAGGGCTAAAATAGGTCTAGAGTCCATGATACTGCTGGGACACAACCTGGGAGGATACCTGGCTGTGTCATACTCCATTAAGTATCCTGGCAGGTGGGTGCAGATTACGTGATTTCTGTTATATAACTCTAGGGCTGCAATATTTTTTATTTCAAACTATTTTATCATTTGGGCTGATCTTTTTGATATGAGCAGTATTAAGTGTGATAAAGGTTTTACGAGCTATACGCTCAGATGATGTATTTAATCTAGAACAAGTTAGACTTTCTGGCTGACTTTAAGAGTTAGATAGCAGGTTTATTAAATTAACCTTACAGACAAGTATTGTGTAAGGACATGTTAAGCCACTTCTTGTTCATTTCTTTTACCACAAAATATATATTACTGTTGTGAGATTTTGTTTGAGTATTTACAAGTGCTTTTTCTTGAATTATGAATTGTCTCATTGTCCCAAATGTGTTGCATGCAATGAATGTACTGAGCAGTTGTGTGCCATGTAAACACTGATGGCAACTACTTATTTTTGCTGAACAATTATCTTGAGTTTCGGTTCATTTTTGTGTTGTGTTCAGCCCAAAACCAATTTTCAGATTTAAAGATTGAGGCCTCAACTATAAAAGGTTTAGATATGTCAATGCTGTGTTGTATTCCACTTGATTTGGCCATAAAGTCAGTTATTATAGGTTAACTTGGCTGAGGAGGGCCACATAATATGGATGAAAGCTCCTGTAACTATAGCTTTTAAATGAACACCACAGTGGTTATAAACCAGAATGATCCTTTCAGCAGTACTGTTGATAGGAAAAGAACTAAAGAAGTGGGACCTGCCGGGAAGCAGAAAAAACCCTCTGCATTGAACAGGGTTTCAAATAATGATTGTGTTAACATGACCATAGCAAAACATGCCAGCATCTGTACAGGATATAGTTGTAGCAGTGTGGTTGTAGGGGCTGTAGCCAGTGATATCAGCAGATTCTTCCATGCCCCCACTAGACGCTTGTCTCTCCTTAATCACTCCCTCTTGCCGGGTCTCCGGCTCCAAGCTTCAGCAGGCACCTGGTGCAAGGAGCATTTGATAAAATGTCCTCAACCCTTTATCGCTCTTCTTCATCACTACCACTTAAAACTCTTACTTGAATCCATTACTCTAAATGGTCTTAAGGTTACAACAATAGATGCTGTGAGGAGGACATAATGTCGTTATCTTAGCTAATCTGTGCTCATTGTTTATGCCATGACCGCAACACAAAGTTTGCTGTTTACTGACAGAAAGAAACATCAGAATAGAAATTGAGGTCAAAAGTGATTTTTACTGTGTAATGTTGAACGATGAGGTGCAGTTTTGTAATGGATGTGTCTCAGTTGTATTAACTGAAGAATCCCTTGTCTATCACCCAGTGTATGTGAGGACAGTTCATTTGCTCTTTAATATAAGTAAAAAACAACTTATTTTTAGAGCTTGGCTTATTATTATTATTATTCTCAGTTTAGCACTGTACTCACAAAGCACAACAACATCGCTACAAAAGACAAGGCAACAAACAGCAAACTGAGGATTATACAGGCTGTGGACACAACAACAATTCTAACGAAATCATCAAAACAAGTTTATGTGGAAGTAAATACAAGTACAGGAGGTCGAATTAAATCACAGTTTGGATAATCATTTACCATTTTCCCTTCCTGTCTTTGTGTGAGCAGAACTCACAAAGGCATTGATCATCATCACCCAAATCTCTAAGGCTAGACAGATCAAATCTGCATGGTCATGATGACTGTTAGGGCATACACGCTGATGGCTTAGGTCTCCCTACCATTGAGCTGGTTTCTCAGCACCTGCCCTGTGGAGCTATTTAGGATTGGTTGGTTTTTCCAGCTGTTTCTAGTCTTGACACACACGCTACATAAAGCTTAAATCTCAAAATGTTGAACTTTTCATTTTAATTGAATTCAAGATATATTTCAGGGTCTGTTTAATCTATTTCACATAACAGAACATTAAATAGCACACAATTTATTTTGTCTCTGGCCTGCAGAATAAAGCACATAGTTCTGGTGGAGCCCTGGGGCTTTCCTGAGCGCCCCGACACAGAGGAGTCTGACCGTCCCATCCCCTTGTGGATCAAAGCCCTTGGGGCCATGTTCAGCCCGTTCAACCCCCTGGCTGGCCTGCGTCTGGTCGGACCTCTGGGTAAGACTGGAGCAATAACATGGTAAAAGATGGATGAAAGAAGAGGGACTAACACATGGTGGTATGATTATACCTGTCTGTTTGCACTGTAACCCTTCCCATTGTCCAAAAACAGCATCTCTTCTGTGGCCCCTGCAGGTCCAACCCTTGTCCAAACTCTGAGACCTGACTTCAAGAGGAAGTTCTCCTCCCTGTTCAGTGACAACACTGTGTCAGAGTACATCTACCACCTGAATGTGCAGACCCCCAGGTCTGTCTCTCGCTGCCTCTGTTACTGTTTCCCTGCCAAGCCTCATTCTCGCTGCTCATGTAAATAGCTGCAATGAAAACACTTCATTGCATTTGCTGCAGTTGACTTTCATTTTAGTTTTACTCCTCACTATTATGTCTTCACATCATCATTTGGTTGTTAACTGCTTATGTTTGTTCACAGTGGAGAAACAGCTTTTAAGAATATGACCATTTCCTTCGGCTGGGCTAAGAGACCGATGCTGCAGAGGATGGACCAGCTGCACCCTAAAATCCCCATCACCATTATCTACGGCTCCCGCTCCAGTGTTGACAGCAACTCAGGCTCCACCATTAAAAAGATGAGACCACACTCTCATGTGGAGATCATTGTAAGTTTAAAATGTTCTGGTTGACAGAAAAGGATATGAATTCATGCACTTTATTCAGAATCATGTTGTGAGGTTCACATTTATATTAGTTGAGATTTGTCCTTTGATATTTCGAGTATAATGTCAGAATATACCAACTTCAGGCATCTGGGATTGTAGCAGAAGATTATAGCCTTTTATACACCATCTCCTGATGACTCTTGTTTTGTATGGTAGATAGATAGGATAGCATATAATAGTTTATTTATGTATTTATTGTATCAAAGTCAGAAAAGGCTTTACTGGTGAGGCTCTATATGGTACATTTATTAAAAGTCATCACTTTCGACTTGTGCTCATACAAAGAAGTGGGTGTTCAACCAAAGTTTTTGCAGTTTCTTGGGAAATATGCCTGTTTCTGTGGACACTTGAATGTTTGCATACTGAAGAATATCATATTTGTACAGTTTGTGCTAAAAAGAATCTGTCTTCTCCAGACCTCATTCATGAAATTGGAAGTACAGTTCAGTTGTGTGTTGGGTCTAGTCTCAGGAACGACTTGCTGACATTGCTGTATGCAGTGGATAATCCTTCTCTTCCACTTTATACACTCATTTATTTCAAGTCAGCTATGGAACTTTTCTTAGCATTTTAGGATGTACCAGCAGGAAAAGGACAGCTGTGGTTTGTGAAGTGAATGAAATAATTCCATTTATCTAATTAAAAACTCATGTCTGTTCCTCAAAATTACATTTTTAGATTTTTCTGATAAAAACTATTTCTCCATCATGTTAAAATTAATTGGATGTTAATTTCCATCTCATTTAGTCCGTGTTCAGACTCTGAATTCACATCCGTCCTGAGTGATCTGATCACACACACAGCTCTAAGTACACGTGTAATGCACCCAGGATGAACAAGGTGAACACTTGGTTTTCATGCAAGTTGGTCTTTAATAGTTTTGCTAACATGAGCTTTTTCTGCTGTGAAAAGGTCCAATTAAGATACATTATGTTCCCATAGAAGAACTGAAATATAAGATGGTTATCAAACCAAACACACCCTGGCTTTTAAGTTCAAACTCTTCTTTATTTGGCCTCTGTACATACCTTACTGTTTCCAGTCACCTGCCTCTCGTCTACTCAATTCTCTTTGCAGACGATCCGTGGAGCCGGACACTATGTGTATGCCGACCAGCCAGAGGACTTCAACCACAGAGTGTCGCAAGCATGTGAAAAAGTGGCCTGAAGCAGAGACGGGCCGGGTCAATGAACTCTGGGGAAAAAGGGGCGCACCAGTAACGCTACGCACATCATGTAGGCTGCTGGTGTAAAACCACAGGATACCAATTTCTCATGGCAGGAATAAGGAGTGTTTGTACATAAAAAATATTCTAACAGGAGGATCACACTGGTGCTCACAAGTTGTATCTACTGACCAGGGATTCAGTCATGTTCTTAGAAATTTGGTAAATAAGATTCAATGAATTAAGTCCCCTCTTAAATGCTATTTATCAGTGAAAATATGGGCTGACGTCAGCTTCATTTTCTCAGAACTGCCTCCAAATGCAGTGAAGAAACACACTTCTTTCAGTGTTGAGCACATTTTCAACCAGATGTGGCCTTTAATAGTTCCTATTGTTTCCCTTATCCGAATGTGCAATAATTTGTATATAAGTGATAAACATACATTTAACCATTTATGAGTTTCATTGCATAATGTTAGTTCGCCTTAACGTTCATCAGACTGAAACAGAATCAATGTCACTGCATTCAAAGAGCTCAGTTACACTTCCTGTACAGAGCTTGATCAGTGCATTGTGGTTTTTCTATATATTCCGATACAGACAGGAAGTATACCCATCAGTATATAGTTCCACAGCATCAGCACCAGGAAGCGGCTATAAATGAATCTGCTGCCAGTAATGGTCTTTTCTGTAGGGTCTCTCCTCTGTGGTTTTTTCATGCTCTGAAGTTTTACTAAAATTTGAATTTCAAATGCATTAATTGTGAATTAAACCAGATTAGCTTTAGTCAAGCGCAGAAATAAGTTGAAAACTACAAGACCTATTACTTTTGTTTTCCTGTAATCTGCATAGACTATATAGTATGCCTGTGTGACAGTATGTCAGTAGAGAAGGGCCACATATTTTAATGATAATATGACCATTTTATTTGTAAAGTGCCAAATTATAACATACATGATCTCAAGGCTCTTTACATAGTTAGTTTGAGACCGTAAAAATGATATACAGCCAACAATTCCCACAATATGGCATTTTACTTCATGTGATGAATGAATGATTTATACTTTATTTTCCCAAGCCCTTGATAGAACAAAATTCTTATCTCAGAGAGCATTGAGTTTTAAAGGAGCACAGATACATGATATCCACCATCATTCCCATTTTTAGCTGGAGTCTGTTCACAGCTTCAACATTCAGTCATTCTTGACCTGCTATTGGTACTCCCCCCAATACAGATACTCAAATTCAAAGCTCAGCCAGGATAGGTAAGGATAAGGACAGCAGTCTCTGTAGTACAGATGCAAAGTCAGTCTTTATATTATATGAGTATGACATGTCAGTTTAAATTAGCATCAGTCTTACCAATCCTGCAGTGAACATTACAACTTTTTGATTCTTTAACATATTAGCTTGGAAAACCCATTAACCAGTTTCATGATGGTGTTTGTTGTGGTATTTGTTAAAGAAGGCCATGTGGTAAACAGCCTAGTGCCTCAGCTCTCACCTGTCGAGCAGGTGACATTTAACCGTTAATGGTTTTAGGCTTTTGGTAAATGCTTCTTGTTCAGTTGCTGTAAAAACATAAATATATGTTGGAATAAACAACACCACGTCCTGGTGAGCAAGGTTAGGCTCCAAGTCTAATTTGTGAACGGAGCATGAAAGGTTTAACAAATTATCAGGTTGCATTATAAGAATTGTAGGATCTAGTCATTGAGATGGACCAATACTAAGGCTAAAAGTCAGGATATATCTGACTGCGTACTCACTGATGTGCCCCTTTCAGGTAATACCTGCAGTGTTTCAATTTTAATTGAAATAATTGTCATTTAAAAAAAACTGTGGAATGTCTACGATGTATAGTTAATGGACTCACATGCCTCTCTACCTCTTCTGCTGCTACTTTGGAAAGAATATATTTAGGCCTGTCTGTTTTTTATGAAGGTGATTTTATAATATAAATGTTCTGGTGTCATTATTCCATCATATTAAATACACAAACTCAGAGTTTAAAGAGGCTACTAGAAGAAAGTCAACGATGCTCTTACTGTGAATTGATATTAGAAATAATTTGTCACAGGGAAATAGTACTTTGTAATTTTACCGAGTGCCTTGAGCCAGTCGCTTAGCTGTTATTGTCAACATGTAAAACCTGTTAGCTTGCTTCCAAAAATGTTCTCTCTTGTGATGGTTGTCAAATTTCTACTTATTTTAAGTTTAAATACAAATAAATGTTTCCCATAGTATAGTTATGCGCCACTTACTTTTGTCTTCTGTCACACGTGAAGAATGTAGCTCTAACTAGTGTCTGCATCATATGTTTAATCTATGATGCAACACATTCATCCTGCTTCTCCCCCTCTTTTGCTTTTCAATTTGATGGAGAAAAAGTGACGGATGAATCAATATTTCTCCTCCAGCTCCCCTTATCATTTCAGAGCTGTCAACCCTCTGCCAGTGAGAGAAATTAGTCCTGTGCAAAGGCCTCTGTAGTTTCCCAACACAGCCGCTAGAGGACGCTCATGTGTAGATAAGGAAACCTTGTGGAAATATCCACACTCTCACCTTTTTTGCACTTTCCATGTTCAGCTTTTTCATTTCATTTTAAATGACAGTAAACTGGAAACAACCAAAAGATAGATGTGTTTACATATTTGCTCTGACTTAAGGATGTCTGTAGATAGCATTAGTGAGAATATTGGTTGAGAATATCAAGCGGATGTACATCATCTCTTCTGTTTCTATCCTTAGATCCAGAATCAGCATTGATACATTTATTGATCTGAAAAGACATCCTATATGTTTTTATTCTCCCTCTTTAGTTGATAAAGGGGAAATATGCAAGCTCAAGTGAAATTATTTCCAAGTCACATGGAACCAGTGGGGGCACTTTCTGTCCCACTCAGCCATTTAGGGAATGATTGATGTGGGTAGAATGAAGTTCCCCTGCTGAAATCTCATTCATTTCTTCAAGGAGCTTCATCAGAGATATGTGTCTGTACAAGAATATTACATCATACAAGGTATCTGCCTCATACTGACAATTTATTTGTCTGTTCACTTGACTGTGTAAATATTGAAATACATCCGCACCCAACCAGACTTTGAAACCTCAGCCTTGCATGGTGGTTTATTGATAGCATTAGTTGGTTATCAAGCAATTAACTTTGACCACACCTCTGGGTATGCGCTATTAAGCAACAATAATGCCATCCTCCCTCTGACATGACACCATTAAACAGAACATGGAAGGGTGGGGCCTCTACAGACCTGAGTCTGTCGGAGAATATTGCACTGATGAATCACAGGATTGATTAGTGGGGCTGGAGATTTCACACATCCAGTCAGAGTAAAATCAGAGGGAAGGTGCAACATCATCAGAAAAGCAGGTCCAAATGTGGGCCATCAATTCTCCAACATGATAATGGTACAAGCACGGCGGCACAGCAGCTAGCAGAGAAAATACTGATTCAATTGGAGAGAGCAGAGCAATGTAGTTTCAGTCATTTAGAAATTGTCCTTTCTGCTGCGTCATGCCTTGTAGATTCTCCAGCAGAAAGCTATCACACAGCTTTAGTAAATTGCAGATCTGAGCTACAGTCTGCTCTGCTGTGCTCTGACTCAGAGCAACTGTGCTGCTCTAAACCCCACAGAAGACGGCACTGTCAGCTACATGCATGCTGCCTGATATCTTTCTGTCTCGGCTTGTTGCACACTATGCAAAACTCAATAATCTTTTTGAACTGCTGATCTCAGTGCTGCATATACCATCAATTACAGGGTTTAATCATATTTACAGATTCTACTTTGTTCATGTTAACAATTACTCTTTTCACACAAAACTGAGTGATGGAATCCCACAAGGCTCTGTGCATGGACTGATACTTTTCACCTTATATATGCTTCCTTTAGGCAATATCGTCAGACAGCACCACACACATTTCCCTTGCTATGCAGATGACACTCAACAAAGTTATTGTACATGACCCTAGGCAAGACCCTTAATGCCAACTTATCACCAATGTGATGTGAAACCAAATTAAACCATTCACCCTGAACCGCAAGACCGCCATGGTGGCACAGTGCGGCAACGCATATCTAATTCCATCCATCCATTTTTGGCTGCTTATCCAAAGTTGGATTGTGGTGACAGTAGATCAGCTTGACAGTTTAATTCTTATAAAACATTTCCCAGCTCATCCCAACTGATGAGGGAGTTGTCTTTGTATTCTACCCAACCCAACTGTGACACAACCTAGAGTTTCCTGCAGATGTTGGTTAGTTTGTGCAGCCTAGCCATTGGTCCAATGACAACCAGAAGATAAACTGAGTGTAGTCCCCAGCTCTTAACACAAAGATTCCCATATCTGGGAAAGTTAATGGGATCCTGTATTTGAGACAATCTTGGATAATGCCACAGAATGAACAGAAAATCAGTCAACTATATTTGGAATTGTTGTCTTACCTAGCATTTCGACACACAAATGAAACTATGCTTGAAATAATGGACTATTTTTTATTTAAGCATTGAGTTTGGTCAGTTAATTAATTTATTTTGTTTACAGCCTCGGTAATATTGATAGAAAAAAATATAACATTGCAATGAAATATGCATGGGTAATTGGAACAGGAGAGGAAGTGAATGGTGAATATATATATATTTTCTAGTCTTGATGACCATACTGTACAGAACAGTACAAGACATTCCCTCATTCGCACCCACATTCATACAGTGCATCTATGTGCAGCACTTTCTCTATCACACATCTTTCATACGCTGCCAGCACAGCCATCAGGGGCAATTTGGGGTTCCGTGTCTTGAACGAGCACACCGGCATGCAGAATGGGGGAGACAGGGATCAAACGGACGACCCTCTGGTTAGTGGACCACACGCTTTATCTCCTGAACCATGGCCGCCCCACTGTTGGGCCTGTCGGACATGTTCATTGGGATCATGTTCATTGGGATTGTGAAGATCAATACAATATGTCACCCGTACACTAGATCGTTGTAGAGGTCTTTGAAATGATTGGGCGGTGGTGAGTCCAATTGGCGTGACTAAATACTCAAAGTGACCCAGTGGTGTGTTTAACACAATCTTGCACTCGTGCTCCTCTCTGATTCTCAGCAAATGATGGGCATTGTGTTGTGCTTCGAAAAGATTGTGGGACCCTGGAGAGATTCAAGAGCTTAACTGATCAATGCTAGTGGGTATTTATGCTTAATCATGACAGTTTTGCCTTTTGGGTAAAACCCAGAACCGAGAAGAGAAGAGAGAGACCATTATGGCTGTTAGTGAGTCTTTAATGTATTTTTGAATAGCTTTTCTTTCAACTTGTGAGAGGTTATAGAGCCAACTAGAAGGGAGAGGGGCTCCAGGGAGCAGCTCGATCACACAATTACATGGTATGTGTGGTGGCAGGTAGTGGGCATGTTTCTTCACAACCACTGAAAACCTCCACCAAGCCATGATATTCAGTGGAAGTGGAAGTTATATCAGGAAGTTTGGGTAAATACATGTTGAGAATGGTATTCACAGGAAGGAGGAATGAGACTTATCAAGCAGTCTTAAGTCAGGGAAGACTTAAAAGGATAGTTCACTAAAAAATGAAAATTCAGTCTTTGAGTCCACAAAAAACTTTTTGAGTTTTAGGGGTAAAGAGAATTACCGCCAAATCCAATACAATTACAGTAAATGGCGACCACTTCTCCAAACAGAAAAAAACAACAGAAAAAAACATGAAATGCCTTCATACTGCTCCTGTGGTGTCATCCAAGTGTCCGTAAGCCCTGACATTCAAATTTGACTCAAAACAAAATCATTTACACCATGTTTTTAGCCTCAATGTCCTCTGCTATCTTCCAACAAGGTGCGTTCAAAGACCATGAAACGTGCTAATGTTAGCCACTTCCACTGAACTTTAAGGCTAACATGGTGTAAATGACCTAGTTTTGAATTGGATATAAATGTCGAGTCTTGCGGACATTTGGATGACACCACGCAGTATGAAGGCCTGTTTTTTTTTTTTCTTCTGTTGTGTTAATGAGTGAATTTTCATACAGAGGTTTCTTATAAATAAAGGGAAGTATTTTCTGTTCACAATTGCCAAACTGTTTGGTCAATCAATGGTAGCATTTGACCTCAGGACAAGAATCTGCTTCTAAATATACTTGTTTCTAACAATGACTGGAGCAGTCATTATGTCTAGTGCTGATATGAGTGAGTGGGAAGTGAGGAAGAGGAGGAAGAAAAAGCGGAGGGAGTTGGAAGACGAGACGGAGTAGAAAGACCTTTATTCTGGAGCACAGACCAGGCCAGACCAGGCTCATCTTGTCTGGGTTGCTAGGCAACCGACAAGGTGCCTGATCTAATTTATTAAATTCAGCCTCTCGCCTCCTCTATATCTCCCTCTTTCTGCGTCTGTCTCACTCGCTCACTTTCGGCTTCGTTGCTGCTTTCCTTATCTGTCGTTATCTTTCCCACCCTCTGAGGCGTTTATCTCCCTCCCCCCCTCTCTCTTCTTCACTCCTTCTCTTTACCCCCTCACTCTATCAGGTACTCCCCTGCTGCCTGTATGTGTGGATATATCTTTCTCTCTCTGTATTTTCTATCATCCCTCCATTTCAGAACTCAGACAGAGTATCCTCTCAGGCTATTCAGCAGTGCCACCCCCATATCTTTCACACCGATCAGTGAGTACCACCCTCAGGCAGGCTAGACCTTCTGTGACTTACCAAGCACACAAAACACACACATGTAAACACACACACACACACACACACACACACACACACACACACAGAACTGCATTACCATTTAGACTGTGACTTTGTCTCGCTTTGCTATACAGTCTAGAACCATACATGTTGATGCATCAGCCTTTCTCTACAAAGCACATTGCTCCACTTATTGCCTGAATTATTCAACATCACCATTGCTATCTTGAACCCGACCAATGACCATTCATGTTCGAGATAATCAATTTCTACCCTGACGGAAACATGTTGAGTACATCACAAAGCGTATGTATGCCAGGTTCTGCAGGAGGAACCATGTGTTTCAGTCTAATGTTAATAAAACTGGAGCAGACAGAAGGACTGTATTTTACTCTTTTGTTAATTAATATAATTTTTGTTAATTAATATTTCCTTTTTGATTTGCATGTGTTTATATCCATAGATGAAAGTGTAGCTTTTTGAAGCTACAGTTCTCCAATTTCAGTAAGAAGTCAT